ACGTCGGTGCACAGTCACCGCCGCCCGGCTGAGGGAGCAAGAGGAGGAGACGGGGCTGAGCCCGGCAGCACCGCGAGACTTTACCGGGGAGAGCGAGGGAGGGAGGGACACCCCCGCGCCCGCCCGCCTGCCCCGCCCCCAGTCCGGCCGGCCCCCCGCTCGGCCCCCGGACCGCCTCCGGGGAGGGGCCTTCTGTCGCCGGCTCCGCCCCGCCCCGGGAGCCGCCCGGGTCTGGCCGCGCGCTCAGGGGAGCAGAGGGGAGCAGAGAGGAGCGGGGGTCCCAGCCCCGGGCCACCCCGAGGGAGCCGAAAGCCTCGCGACCTGTGGGTTTGTCCCAGGGCAGACCCTGCAAGGGCTCGGAATGTGCGTGCTATGTGTGTGTTTTGGGAATATGTACCGGTCTGGACCACCGAGTTTTCTAGCAGTCTTTAGCCCCCAGACCGGCTCATACGACGTGGAGAAGAGGCCAAGGTCAAAAAGTCGGCGTCAGACTGCACACGCGGGCGGCGCCCCCAGCCTGTGCAGAGCCAGTGCTTTCAGCAGCCTTCCCTCTGGAAGCTGATAGTCTAGACTTGTGTAAGCATCAGGGCCATTATTAGATAAAACCCTTCAGGCACGGTTTGTTCAGGGAGACCAGGCCAGAGCCAAGGATGCAGGTGGAACTTTGCCTTCCTGCACTCCAACCTTGGAGATAAGACAGTGTTCTCTCTCAGGCTAGTAACGGCAGGGATGAAGTGGGAATGATTAGAAACGTTTTGTGCAGTTGTGGGCTGGAAGAGCAAGTGGAAGGAAGGAGAAAATATCCCCATTTTCTTTCAGCACACCCTGTATTTTTATTTTATGGCACCCATCACAATTTGTAATGATATATTTACTGCTATGAGAGGCAGTAGAGCTAGAATGTGGTTGTCTAAAGAGTGAATTCTGATGTCAGACTGCCTGCTTGGATGTATGGGCAATTCATTGACCAGCTGTGTGATGTTGGTCAAGTCACTTAATCTTTCTGTGCTTCAGTACCTTATCTGAAAACTGAGAAGAATAATAGTATCTACCTCGCAGGGTTGTGAGTATTAAATGGGCTAAATCACATAAAGTACTTTGAAGAGCTCCTGGCACCTAATTAGAACAGAGGTAGCTATTATTATTTAATATTTGTCTTCCCACTAAATTGTAGGCTCCAATAGGGCAGGGCCCCTGCCTCCTCTGTTCATCATTGTGTACTTAGCCCCAGACCCTCAGGAAATATTTGTGGAATGAAAGGACTACTTAGGGCTGTGGTAGGGGGAGGGAGCTACCATTCCTTCCTCTGTCCCCACTGTCAGAGGAATGGTAGGACTGAGGCACATAACTGTCTCAGTGGAGGAGAAACACGCTGGGCAGGTTCCCGACCTGCCCTCCCTGGGCAAGTGTACCCCAAGTCCCGGGCCAGCCCCAACTGGGCAGGATGGAGTTGGGCCAACTGCTGCAGCTCAGTCTTGATTACAGCAGGACGCCCACTGGGAGTCAGGCCTCCATTGTCAGCAGGCTGGCTCACAGAGAAGGCAGCTGAGAGGCTGAGAGGCTTTCCAGCCTCCCTGGCTGCCTCCCTGAGGGGTGGGTGGAGCAAATCTCCCAGGGAGGGCTCCCCTCCTGTCCTTAAGCAACAGCCCTGGGAGCTAAGGAGAGCCAGACTGCCCAGTGGGGGCGATTTAAGGAATAGGAGAGGAAAAGCATTAACAGATTGTCTAGGAAGGGGTCAGAGAGGGCCAGAGGAAAGGGCTGAGGTGACAGTACACCATGCTCCACCCCTCCGCAGGGCAACAGGAAGTAAGGCGCTAGGGAGTAAGGCCACTTCCTATCTCAAAGCACTGGGGTGAAAGCCAGGTTCCAAGTCCCAGCGTGGGACTTGGGCAGGGCAATGCAATGAGATTATATATGGGGATGACAAACAGTCCCGACTTTCTGTCATCTACCTTAAATGCAGAAGTGACAGCTAGTCTGCACTCCAGAAATAGGGGCTGCATATTAATCATCAATATGCCCTTCCCGAGCCCTCAGGACAACTTGGTTCCCGACCTCCTCATGTTGAAACTTAATATTCATTAATATAAGGTGGAGTGAGAAGATGGAGGGAGATCTGAACAAGCACAGACTAGGGCTACTGGAAAGTCCCCTAGGGTATCCCAGGAAAAAATGTTAAAACAGCACTACAACTGCCAGGTACCTACTGTGAGGGGGGGGCTATCTTCTCCACTGAGGATGAGGGTTCTACCCTGGATATTTGAGGGTAACCATATAAAGCACTTTGCAGTGAACCTCTGGGTAAAAGGAAGAGTGATGAAAAAAATAGTGGGGGGAAGCCTTGGGGATGACTCACAGTACTGTGTAAGGGGAACTAGCTATCTTTCAACAAATGTTTATCAACTGCCTACTATGTGCTTGGCACTGCCTCTCATTTTGAGAAACATCCAAATAAAGTGGAAAATTAGACTTCACAATCAAAACAAAACTCAAATCATTCTCTCCTTTTTCCTTTCTATGTTTCTCTCACTCCTCCTTCTCTCACTACTTCTGTCAACAAGTCAGACTCTGACGTGGCCAGAGTGGCAATTCGGAGCCTATAGACACCTTTGTGTGCACACACAAATACACACCCTCATACACACCCTCCTGATTCCCATTGCTGTAATACCTACGCAACCTCCAGCTACCCCACAGAAATTAGGAGGAAGATGCATATAAATAATAACGAGTTCACCAGCTCCCTGCGCATCAGTATCTATGGCAACCTCATGGGGTCCTCGAGCTGTGCTGTTCTGGTTGCAGCAAGTCCCCTGGGCAGCACCAGCACTCAGGCTGTGCCCACAGCATGGGGAACAGGGAATTACACAGGAAATTGATGCCCTGATAATCACCAGAGGGGTTCCACTGGGTGGGACCCTCTGTCATTCCTCTGCTCTTTCTCTTTCAAGGCTCCAAAAATTGCACCATGGGACTTGCTCCCTGAATGAGAGAAGCCTCCCTTCCTAATTTTGGAATGCAATTTTAGAGTAGAAAGGTACTTATTCTTCAGACCTGAGGAAAATGGGGCAGTTGAAAGTGAGGTGTTTAAATGCAAGGGGGATGACACTTTTGGAAACAAACAATAGTTACCTACTTGTTGGGGGATGTTGTAAAATAAATTTGGAGAGAATTTAGCCTTGTGCCCATGAGGAGTTTTCAATCCATATTCCACAGAAATGTACAGGTTACATGGTCATGCCACAGCAGCTACTCAACATATATATTGAGGTTCAATGTAAGGTTTTGTTGAAGAAGAGTCCCTGGCTTAAAGACGTCCCTGAAAG